CCAATTAAAGCCAGACTAATTAGACACCCTCTCGCCTCTGGCGCTGGGAAGGCAGGCAGGAGGTATTAGAGGGGGAGATGCTGACTTCTTAAATTTAAAGAGTCCTTGCTGGGAGCTGGGCGGTTTGTGCTTCTGCTGCCTGGTGTGTCCAGGGGTGCCGGGAGCCCCCAGGAAGGCACAGATGGGGGTGGGGGGCACAGGGGAAAGGTGCCGGGAGCTTTGCAGAAGAGGCAGGTGACATCCCCTTTGTGCCTTTGCTATCCGGGTGACAGCACAGCACGCTGTCCTGAACAGGCAGGGTCTGCATGACTTTCCCTGGCCAGGACGAGCTGGCCACCTCTGAGTGCAAGGCCCTCCCTTGCTGGATGACCTCCAGAGCTGTCCCCTCTCTCCGCACTGTCTCCCACTTGACCCTGCTCTGTTTGAAGCCACCAGCTGCGGTTAATCCTTGGCAAACCAGCCAGGCTGCTGTGCCCGGCAGAGAGCCTGGCACTGCCCGCTCGCCCTCCCCATCTCCAGAGCATCCCGGCCAGGATGGCATCCCAGCGGTGGCTCTGGACCACCACTGAAAACCCTGCCCTGTCCCTGCCATCTGCCATTTCCACAACAGAAATACTCATTAGAGAACTGAAGTTTTCCGACTGTTTCTTGCAAGAACAAGGCTCGGCAGCCCCAGTGATGCTGCAGTTCCCACCCAACAGCTTTTCATTAGGGGATCGCTTTGACAGCACCGCCTCATCCATTAACAAGCTGGGGATGGGGATGAGAACAGACAGCAACGCACTAATTAACTTTTTTTTCAGTGATGGGAGCCAGCAGAGACAAGGGGAACCACTACCAGCAGTTAATGGAAACAAGGACTCCTGGGCTCCTTTCCCTGCTCTGCCACTGCTTCATTTTATAGCCGTGGGCACGATGCTGCAACGGTCCGTTCCTCCCAGAGAGGGGCAGGGAAGCCTTGACCCACGCTGATTTTAGCAGCCGGCTGCACATCGCAGGCTGCCGTGGCAGGAGGTGGGAGCAGGAGGGAGGCTGAGCCATACAGCTGCCCCAGCTCAGGGTGCTCAGCAGATACTGGTTTGCACGGGCAAGGAGAAGGGAAGGAAGGAGGCAGCGGGGTGCACAGCTCCAGT